TAATAATAATAATAATAATAATAATAATAATAATAATAATAATAATAACAACAACAACAATAATAATATAATATAATATTATTATTACTACTGCTGCTACTATGTACATAGGATTATAATCTATTTATGGTTCTGTTTATTTGGGTAATGATGTAATATTTACTACAAAATTATGATTAGGAAAATTGATTAAAATGCACCTAGAGATCAGTTATTTAACATTTTACAAACATTTTTTTAATTTTTAATTTTCAAAATAGCTGTTAAAATTACCCATGATCATGAGTTGGAATAGTTGAAAAGCATAAAATGTTAAATTGTTGAAAAGTTTGGTGTAATTATATTACGAATATGCTTAGTAATATTTATATCGATTATAATTGCTGGGATTGACATTTTGCGAGAGAGATAGAGAGAGAGAAAGATGATGAAGGAAGGATCGTAGTTCCTGCACCTTGCGTGGTGTCTCCCAGTCCACTACGGCTTGCATGCACCTTCTCTTGATCCATCCATATCATGTTGTAGCCAATCCAGTGCCCAAGGAAAAGACCTTATGCAAAGCCAAAGCTAGGCTTGGAGAGACGAATTCCATAGTAGGTGAGAGATTTAAGGGGGGGAGGGCGAGAGAGAGAGAGAGATTTGAAGCGAGAGGAGTGTGGTATGTAGATGGAAGGGTAAGGGGAAGATATTTACTTTTCTTTTTCCCCTTTTTTTTTTGGTGGTGTGTGGGTGGGGCTGAGGAGGGGGAGGGATGATTCAAGGACAGAGTGAAAGATTAATATGTATTAACTTACGAACAAAGTAGGCAAAAATGAATACATCGGAGAGAACTGAGGGGAGGCTCTAATAAGCGATGAGGGAAAGTAAACTTAGGTAGTCTGGCCATATACAACGTTTGACCTAGAACAATACCTGTTAGGAGGGGCGATGTAGTTCAAGTGGAAGACTCTAAAAAGGTAAGGTGAAGGCCCAAAATGATATGGATAGAAGTAGTGAGAAAAGATATAGTGACTTATGGCCTGACAGAGGGTATAGCCCTTAATAGAGTGGAATGGCAAAATAGGATTAGAGTAGCTGATGCCAAATAGTTGGGATAAGCCTTGGATGATGATGATAAAGTAGGCAAAAATGACAATATAAGTGACACTTGTCGCAAAAATAGAAAGGGTCAGCTTCTCACTTGCTATATAATAGATGGAAAAAGTTTATATAGAGCCGAGGCTCTAAACAATCAAATTAGAGCTCACCTCAAAATTTTCACTAGAAGAGGTTGTTGTGATGCTCAAATATCTTCAAATTGATCATCTTGACATCAAGATGCATGGACATGAGAAAAAAATGGATTTCAAGGTTTGGAAATAGTGCATTTTGTAATGCATTTTTGGACCATCAATTTTGGAGATTTTCAAGTAATAATTAAAGATTAAAATATGTTTTAAGGCTATCACAAAGATTTCCAGTATTGAAATCACATTCTCGACACAATTTGAAGATGCGCTTTACTTTGATTGTTTAGAGCCTCAGCTCTATACAAACCGCACCCCATAATAGATTGATATTCTAAGGGCACTCCTTGGGCATTCCCAGACAAGAAATTCCATGTGCTTTTGCACTGTCAGGGGAGGGTACCTAAGGTAAAGGACAATCCACACCCCTATTCATGCTCCCAACCTCTATGCATCAACATTGCTTCCCAATACTTGGTTGATTGAATTTGAAAATCAAGAGACACCCACAAACGTAAGGTTGTCTAGAAGATACAAGATTGTCTAGGAGAACAGCACCGCCATTCGCTTTACCACCCAATGTCTAGTATCACTCTGAAGAGCATTCATACTCGGAACAGATTTGCTCCTCTAGGCATATCATATTAGGATGGCCATGGTTGTTGGATAACAAGGTCAAGCATTATGTCCAAGTCAGCCCATTTTAAAGTGAAAAATAGAAGTGTTATTCTAAAATCTTATAGAGACAACAAGTAGAAAACGATGGCCAAGTCAGCCAACATTTCGACTCTTAGATTGTTTCTAGAAGGAGGTCTAGAGAATAAGGTAATTAAAGCTGATATTGGAAGGGATGTCAAGCCCAACCACCAGCTGTCTAAATATTAGCATCGTTCAAAGGTTCACAAGCTTCTTTCAAACTTCTCAGCCCAGATGAGCTCCCTAACAAGTTTCCACCCATGGGAGATATGAAGCGTGCCATGATCTCATTCCTGGAGCTACTCTTCCAACCATATAACCTTCGGCACCGGTTCCAGATAGTATGTAGAGCATCAGTGAAGACTTGTTCGCCAAGTGACTCATTCATGAGAGCATGAGCCCATGTGCAGTACTCGCGCTCCTCAACCCTAAGAAAGACGGCACCTGGCAAATGTGCATAGACAAAAAGGTTGGAATATAGAAGGAGTTGGATGCGTTCGTCTCAATTCCTCCATAGACGCAAATGTACATTTAAGGTGAGCTTGCGCGAGGATGCATCTCCACAACTTAAATCAAATAGCTTTTTGAGATCCACAAACCTTATCTCTTAAGGATATTTCCTTAATTCAGGCATCTCAGGCCCCATCATGGGAAAGCCTACTTAGATAATATGCTATGAATTTAAAGATTATTCCATTTCAGGTTCCTTTTCTGGAGAAAAATTAAGTCAAGATTTAATTAAACTAGAAAAGTCAATTTTTTATAAATTTTAATAAGATGTTCTTCCAAAATTTGCAAATAGGAGATAGTTTTCCATTTTGTTGAAGTATTCTAGAAAAGATTCTTTCTATATTATGTGAGGGTCTAGTTTCCCAAAACTAAGGAACTAGTTTACCAAATTTCGAAAGAATTCAGAAGGTTAGGTAGTTTCGGAAATTAGAGATGGCTTGACTCCAAGCAACTCAAATAAAGAAGAATTGAAACCTCTATAAATACTAATATAGGCCTATGGACAAATCAAATATAAATTAAGTAATAAAATTTAGATCCTAATGGTAGGGAGAGGCTACTTTTAGAGGATCATCATTATCATCATCATCATCCAAGCCTTATCCCAATTATTTGGAGTCAGCTAAATTCCTCAATTCTTTTTTCAGAGAGATGGCTTGACTTCTAGCCAACTCAAATAAAGAGGACTTCAAACCTCCATAAATACTCATGTAGGCATACGGACAAATTAAATATAAATTGAGTAATAAAATTTGGATCCCAATGGCAGGGAGAGGCTACTTTTAGAGGATAGATTCCTCAATTCTTTTCTCAGAGAGAGGGATTCTACAACTAGAGCCCAGGTTTGGGAAAATCTGCACACAGGTTATGGCCCATTTCTTCTTTAGGAGAGATTCCTAAAACCGTAGCTGGTGGTAGGAGGTTCTCCCCACATAAGCTTGGCTCCCTTCTTCTTTCCCCTCTTGTGTGGCACTTTCCCATCCAAAATTCCTCAAATATTTTACTCATTCAAAGCCTTCTACAAACTCTTGCAGTACATCTCCAAACCTTAGACAAACTAGCTACCCTAACCTTGGTAGCCTTCAAACTCAAGTCTGAACCCGATATTTCCTTTGTAACAATTCTCATACCTTGCTGGACTGTTAATTTCCAGCAAGGTATCCCCTACCCTGAAACCCTCCCAATTATTGTCATAATAATATCTAAACCTTCCCAATAGACCTAGCCTAAGTTGTATGCTCTACATCTTTTGAGCCTCCTATCCTACATTCCTCGGTATAGAAGACCTCAAGACCTCCAGAACCATGATGTCCTGGTGTATGCAGAAATCAACACCCCTTTAGAACACATAAATCTAACCTATTTACTCAATCATACGCAAACCTTTCTTTCTATGCCAACCTCATGTGTTACACTCATGTAAGAGCCAAGGCCCCTTGGTCCTTCATCACTAGTTGCAAGCTACATATTCCACAAGACATGTAGTTCCAAACAAAAAAAATCATGTGTTTCACATTTTCATCCACAACCGCAGCATATATTCTATAGAAAAGACCGGTAACAGAGTATGAGGAATAACAAGAAACAAGAGAAGAATGAAATAAAAAAGGATAAAGAAACTAACTTCCATCTCCATCAGGTAGTCCTTGGTCACTCGTAGGCTCTGTTTCACTAGAAGTGGCATCCATATCCATCGTGGCTGAAGCATCAGGATGACTGAATATCCAGTCTGTAGCTTTCTCCACATCCCCACCCTATGGAAATTTTGAAATATAAGTTAAAAACATGGCAAATATTTGTCAATAAAATGAAAAGCAACCTACAGTTGCTTTCTCCACATCCCCACCCTATGGAAATTTTGAAAAAGAAGTTAAAAACATGGCAATATTTGTCAATAAAATGAGAAGCAACCTACTGTAGGAAGGAACAAAAAGGTCGGGGGGTGGGAGGGGGGACTACACGGACTAGGTTCTTCAAAACCAGTTGCGATAACTGCATAACTATTATAGAAAATGTAAAAACATGCAGGGACATAATTATCAGCATAATTCTCATTCCTTAGAAACTTGTTAGGCCATTGACTTGAGCAAAACTACTTAACACATGGCATTGTGAAAAACTGAAGACAAGCAATGGGAAAGAAGAAAAATCTTACCGATGACATTAATGCTTTTCGAGCAAGATCGGGAGAGAATCCAAATGAAACCAGAGTCTGAAGGCACATTTCATCTACTGCTGCTAAAAGATTTCCTGCGCCCTCCACCTCCTGTGAAATTGGTGTGTCTATATCTGGAACCTCAAATTTTGCAGTCAGAGGGCATACAAATCAGTCAATTCTAATAAGCATAGAAAACATAAGATAACACTGATTTCCAGCAATAGCATGTGCTTTTTGGCTTTCCTGATTAAATGTGCCTCCTACTTTCTTTCAAGTAGCTAGTCAGGTTGCAAACTTCAGGATCCTTCAAAGGAACAAGATAACTTAGAGGGTATTATTTTCTTTGGGGTTCTCTTAAATCTCACCAAAAGTATTCTTGCCCTCTTGAAGAATTGAGATGGTATTACCTTTACATGGATAGAGGCAGAATGCTACCTCGCCAATATTAGTTAGGGAAAATAACAAGCACCCAAATGCTTATCAAAAATAAAAACACTATGGTAGCTATGGAAAAAACAAAAATAATTCAGCGCAAATCATACAAAAGCACATGCTTTCATTCACTTCCTGCTTCTCTGACAAGCCAAGAAGTCATGGAAGAAATAAAAAGACAAGAAAGTAGGAAATGGCAAATTTACAGAGGTTTTGATCAGCTAAATAATTTCTTAATTATATGAGGCACAGAATACTTTTGTTTTAAATTCAGGATTCACTAGAAGATTTACATTGATTGAATTTGAATTAAGTTGGTGCCTAGATATCGAACCAAGATAATGCAATCTTAGTGACACCCCAAGCACTTAAACCCCAATAGCATTAACAGGCAAGTTTAGAGATAATCCAAGATATTATAGTCATGAAAACCGTTTCAAATGTTCTGGCTATTCTTCTAGGTAAAACTGTATAAGGGAATTTTAGTTGCATAAAGAATAATAAAAATTCAAGCTTAAACTGAATATTCCAATATGCGGACCTGGGTCTTCCATATGAGCAAGTAACCAATTCATTGCCTCTTCTACTCCAACATTTGATGTGTAGATTGCAGCTTTCTCACAGTGCAAAAGAGGAAACCCCATGCTAGTAAGCTGTGATACAATATCTTCATTGACATAAGGCTTAACTGGGCCACCCTTCTCAGAATCTGCAGTCAAATGGCAGAGGAAGGATGAAACAGAGAACTGTGGCACAATACCTCAACAATAATAGACTTTCAACCAAAAAGATTACACATGAAAAATTTTCTCAGACTAGTCAATTTTAACTGTTGAAATGTAGCAAAATAGCCAACCTGATTCAGGTAGAAGCTCCTCCCCAGGCTGCAACCCTTTGCTTCGCATGTAGCTGATGTCTATTATATCAGGCACATCAATATATACATCTGAATGTTTGCAATATAGAACCACCAAACAACTGAATCAGACAAAATGTTGAGTTTAAAAGGAAACTAGGAGGTAAATGCAGCATGCAACATAGATTCAGTATCAACACTCCGAGAAAGATACCAAGCTTTTTCGGCACCCATCCTTCTTCCATCACAAATTTACGCATGTGTAAAACCAAATAATCTGGAAAGGTTGTCAAGCCAGCAGTTCTGCTCAACAATGAAATTTCTGACTTTAGTACATCATGCAACAGGCACTTCACAGGGTTGGAGAAAATCAATTTATAGTGGCTCAGATAAGGATCAATTGATTATTTTCGCCAGTTGAAAAACTCATCTATGCTTACTTTATTGCTGTAGTTTTAGCATTCAATGCAGTGCTGTAAAAATCATGCACCTCCTCTGGTGATGTAAAGCTTGCTAAACATGATTCCAGGTGTACCCTTGGGCGTACAATTTCTTCAGAAGCTCTGTGACAAATTGGTACCCATTAGCTGGAAACTTACGATAATTACAATACAAATATAGAAAAGAAATAAAATATGGGTTTTCTGTCAAGTTTGCAACATCTTACATTTCTTTCCCTTCGAAACGTCTTTCTTCTTTCAGTTTGTTAAATGCTTCCAGCTGTTCTGAAATCTCAAATAACACGATAATGAAAACAAATTTCAGAGACAATTACAAGAATAAAAGTCGTGGCTGCACATTACCTTTATTAGTAGCTTTGGTCAAAGGAATATTTAATGAAAGAATGTAATCTGTTCTTTTATTGTAAGCAACTTTTCCCGATAGACAAAGTAGCCGCTCTTCTACACCAAATTTGAAACATCTTGATGAATCAAGTTCAGGTTTTCCTGCATTGATTCGTTCAACTTGGTCCAGAAAATGTAGAAAGAATTCCAACGCATCCTGTAAAGAAGGGCTCAGATGGTTATGAAAGAAAAACGGAATGGATTGCTGAAATCCTCATAACATATAAGTGAAATGCTTCCTTGTTTATTGTATACACATCCACAAAGAGGTTCAATCAGACACCATTTTTATTGATACAGACCACATTAGAAATCACCATCATCCGAGACTTATCCCAACTATTTGGGCTCGACTAGACCACAGAAGAAATACAATATAAAAATTTTAGAAGATTCAACAAATGCTACAGAACAATCCAAGGAACCATGCATGGCAATCAAAAAACATCATTTGAACTTATGTTTTCTCGATACTTCAATATTTCTTCTTTCAGCACAACTTATATAGCAAAGTTCATAGAAATGATAGCCTTGTGACATTTGGGATTATAAGAAGCAATAACAGGAAATCAACAGGTCATAAAACAGAATATTGAATACCTGTTGCCGCATACTTGAAAACTCTGGATGGCTAGCAGCAATAACCATCTTGAACATGCGAGGGGGAATTCCTTCCTGGCTCTGAATAAAAGCTGAACTGGTTATAAGAACTTAAAAAGAAGAAACACACAAAGCAACAGACATGAAAAACTGCATGCAACAACTTCATGCCATTTACATAGACTAGCATGTAACAGTCAACCATTTACAACTCCATGAAAGAAAGTTATCAATCACAGCTAAATTAATCCCTCCACAATTCACAATCTTCAGAACGACCAACCTAGTTGAAAATCCATACGACTGTTAGTGCACTGACCATGTGTAAGATTGAAATGAAAATATTTAAAAAGTCTACATCCCAGAAAGTGTAGACTTGTAGTGTTGTCATCAGGTCACCAGTTGTCCAAAAGATTGGTGAGCAGGTCACGGACTAGTAGTGGAGCACTAAATTTTAATTCTGTTTCCCAGCGGGCTTAGGAGGTATTTTAAGGGATCTGGTAGCCTAGAAAGTTAACAAATACATTCGGTGCATCCCTGGACACATGAAACCCACCAGGTTTTCAATTGATTTAGGACATGAAACACATAGTAAATCACTGGAAACACACTTCCGCCTTGCATCCATCCATTAGCAGCTCCAAAAATGGTACAGGTATAATGAGCTGTGAAGAAGTAAAATGAATGATGCAAAAACACAATTTCAAAGTTGGCCACATCTAACATTCCAAATTCATATTTTTTTCAGATTCATGATAAATGTGGACAACATCATCGACCCCTGAAATTTTGAATCCCAATCTTTGGAAGGGGGACCCATATGAACAGGTGTGTCTAACGCACCAAAACCTCCCTTATTTTGTTTAATAGAACTTCACTACTCATACTTCGTCAAAAAAATAAAATAAAAATAAAAATAATTGCTCATCAGAGAGAACTACATTCCAAATAAATATTTTGTCTTTGTCATTTATAACACTCATGATTAGTTTAATAGGGCCATTGATAGTGGGAATCATGGCTGGTGTAGAGAAGTCATACACAGTTCTCCATGAGTATAAATAGCACATCACATCGAGAAGACTCACATGCAATCACATAAATATGGCAATATGGAAATCGAGGCATAACTGAGTTCATTTTAAAGTTCATCTTCACCATACTAACTCAAGACAGAAAACTAAAATTTAATATGGAGAGGTTAATTAAGGATATTTTCCCGTATGATCATATTTCTGCGCAAGTAAGAATCAACGGATAGATGTTTCCCAACACATTTTAGACTTGCATCTAACATTTTTCTGAGAGTTCTCAAGTGAATTCTGTCAATACTATCGAGCAAGTCATTTCAGAGTGAAATGGCCAAGTACAAATGATGCAAATAACAAACAATTGATTAGTTTTACATAACTAACACAGTTTCGTTTCATTATTAAAACACGAATCAATAGATGACTCAGTTGAAAAGCACATGACTTTACTTTAAGGGGTATTAGATTGGAACCCAGCTATGTGTTTTGTTTGACACTCCCCATCTTAGGCCATATCAACACTTTTTTTTTTTGGAAAAAGTTGCCATGCAATATTAAGGAAATTCCAAGGTGTTGCAGTAATCCTGATCAGAACAATAGGAAGATGCTATACATTTTCTGAAAGTCTACAAGATTAATCTGAAATTCAGATTGTTCATCTAGAGTTGGTTTTTTGGTTAAAAAAGATGATCGCTGAAGACATATAAACTAGCCATCAGGCCCCTTGTCTTCAGGAGGAAAATCATTTAAGGATGTTTCCTTTAGCTTTAGGGTATGTTTGACAAAATAGGATTTGAATAAATCCAAATTTTTGGAAATCTGAATAAAGGCATTGCCTGCTTTCTGTATATTGTGTTTTTTTGTGCATGCTTGATTGTCTACCTTCTTTTTGAATTGTCATATATTTGAAATTTAACACTGTTTGGCTGAAAAAAAATCAGAATTTCTTGATTTTTTTTCTTATTCGCCACATATTTGATTTGTACCTAACTGGTATCTTCTATCTACTAAATAGGGTGGGGCTTCCATTCTTTAAAGCAAGACAATCATGCCAATGGGTCTCTTAAAACATCAATAGAAGGCAACATTAAAATTTAATATATGACCGTTCATAGATATGCTTGGAAAATATGATTATATGGATTCTTGGCACATAAGACGGTGCGGGTGAAAGTACATTCTTTTCCTATGAATACCAATGGAAAGAAAAACAAGAGTTGCTACATGTTTACGCACATACATGTAGGTATACCTGTAGGTATAAAATTATCTATGTATGAACATAAAGTAGTCTCCTTTTGTGTCCTTTTGAAAGCAAGATTCACTCTTATGAGAGAAAAAGCTTATTGAGACAACCTCTTGCCTTGCCCCAAATACTGAATTTGCCCAAGACCATGCTCAACATGGCCAGAAGGGTCCCAAGTTTCTAAATTCTTGCCTTTTGCTACTGGAGGTGGAATCAAAGATGCTAAAGGAGGCCTTATCAAAGCATAACAGTGAACTTCGGGCAGCAAGAGGTATGTATGCTAAAATAGCAAACAAGGTTCACAACATGCTAGCACAGGTACACATCCAAAAACACCAGTAGAACCCCATGTATACTGAGGTGCCCATTAATTGAGTCAAAATATATTAAGTAATGCACCAAGTTTGGCCTCCATGTCTACAGATGGAATTGATGATGAAACTAGTTGTACAGATTCATGAGACTTTGCTCTCAGAGCTTTCCCAATTCAGGAGAGAGAAAGATGTGGACAAGGGTAACAAAATCACCGATATCAGGCCGATATAAAAAAATGGTTATACTCATCAGAAAATGAAGTTTACTTCATCTAATCCTATTTTATTGAATTTTCACCTACCTATACCAGCAAAGGTTAGGGTCACATTTCAAGAAAATAAATAAATACCAGGTTAGGGCTTTCAGATGAATAAAAAAGTCCTACCTTAAGCAACATGCATGTAGATTGCAGTCAGCTTGGAGTGGGAACCCAAGAGAGATTAGCTTGAAAGAGAAAGTGGAGTTTCAGATGGAGAGAAAGAGAGAGTTTCAACACTTGTATAGCAGCAATGGAGAGAGAGATCACACAAGGGGAAACAAGGAGAGAGACTGCATAAGGAGGTTCAGTAGGGATAAATGGAGTGAGAGGCAGAACATTTTGGCACGAGAGACAGAGGGTAGCAAATCCCACGAAGTATTTTGACAGAGAAACGCAAACCCACAAGTTAACATTTTTTTCAATCTTCTAAATTTCAAGTGCGACCCGTTTTTATGAGGATTCTGTTATTGGGGTGAAGATATTCAAATCTCACGTGATCCGTTTTAGTGCTATAAAATATCTCTTTAACCCTATCTAACTAGAGTTTAATATAGGTCTATCACACATACCCTCACGGAAAAACATGATCTTCATGGATAAGTAATTTGGTAAATTTGTGGCATTTCTCGGTTAGATAACTCCAGCATTTAGCATCTAAGAGGCACTTGGAAGAAAAGAATCCAAATACACACACTACTGCAATGTAGGATGTAGGCATTAAGTGAACTCGTGCATTTTTATGAAGCTAAACTATTATACAATGGAAAACTCCTTCCGCAATCTTAACTCATCTTTGGTTGGAGGCTTCTCCACATGAATGTGAAGAATATTGCTGGATGATTTTACAAGACCCTATGGAGTTCACATGTAAATGAGATCCTTCCTGATGGAGGGATGTCATTACCTAAGCACTTTCCCAACCACCTACCAGTTCCCAACCAACTACCAGAAGGAAAACTGCTTCCTGAAGTCAAATTTCCTCAAAAGTTACAAGATGAATGTGCATTTCCTCGAAGTATAGTAGATGAATTGGAAAATAAAGCATTGAATATTTCACTTTAGCATGTTGTTAGGATGGCAAACAGGATCAAAACCTCCCAAGGTAGGGAGGGATTATAACCACCCAAGAGAAGTGAGAGATTAAAGAGGTTTACCTCAGGAAAATTCAGCTCTTCCCTTAAATCCTGTCATTGTGCATATATTTTGTGCATGCTAAGACCCATAACTCATGTATATTCTACAGAAATGTTTTTTTATGCTGTTGACTGTATAGTCTACATAAATTTTATCTACGGATAAAAATTTACTTCAGTAACAAGTCAAAATAAATTGATGTATGCTTTAGTCCTTAAGCAGTCCGCAATTTTCCATTCAGGACAAGTTCATGAGTGGAGAGGGTTGTGGATTAAAGCCTGAATGAACAGCTCCAGGTATGATGGGACCTATGAAATTTATCTTTGATGGTAGTCCATTGATACCCTGCCCCAGGAGTGGGGGTACATGTGAATATGTAACAGATCGATTTTGAAGGTCTTGCCGGAAATAAAGATACCAAGGTTTGTGAGATCCATGGCCCTCCTGACTGGGCTCAAAGTGTCCAATTCTCCTGTTCATTCTGTGTCCAATAATGATACCGAGGTTTGCAAGATCTATGGCCCTCCTAACTCAGCTTTCATGTCCAGTGCTCCTGTTCATTTTTTTTTTCGAAGTTTCTAGTACTCTGGTTCATTGTGTGTCCAATAACGATGAATGTCATAACAGATGGTGCCTTCCCATGAACAATTGTTGACATCATGGAGGATATTCATAATCTTTCTAATAGTTCAGTGACATTCCATGTGCGCAGGGAATAGCTAATTACAAGGTGGACTCCTAGCTCAAGATGCAGTCCATAGAGACTCAATTATTGTGGGGAGGGACCCCCTCCACTTTCGATCATGTCACCTCTTCCATATTTTCATATGCATCTACATTTGCTTGCACAATGAGGTGGAAGTTGATGTATATGGTTTCCTTCCTAAACACTTACTTCTCTGTCAAGTTTCAAAATGAAGGGCACCGAGTCCCAGTTGGCAACCAAGTAATCATTTTGAACAATCATAAATATTCCACCAAAAGAATAATACTTATCTGATTTTATTTTTTTTCTGAAAGTGTTAACTGAAAGAATAATAACCATCAAAATATATAAAAAGAAACATACATAATATTGTCCATATTATAAATTATTTTTCAATATTAGTATTTAACTTTACCAAAAACAGTTCCATGTGCTTTGCTTCCATCAGGTAAAACCCACAAAAACTTGACTCCTTCGAGATTTGAGGGGGACCAATAGAAGTATACAATGATCAATAAGCAAAATCTAAAATATTATGATGGATAGATCCACACTACAATGATGTGAGTCATGGAAAAATAGAAATGCTCGTACTTCAACCAATTGATCAAAACTGATCTCCAATCACAATTGTCACATGATCAAGAAAAACTGCCCCTAAGTTCTTACAGAAAGCTCACAGATAGAAGGGATGAATGGGAAAAGAATCAAATAGAACATAAAAAGCAAAACACAGCAACGAGAATGTAGAATGTTTGCCATTTATTCTAATGAGGAAACTTCATCATCATCAAAGCCTTTTCCCAACTAATTGGGGTTGGCTAAATGAGGAAACTTACAGGACTTAATGCTTTGTCCAAAATAATTTTTGCTTCATTTATCTGGTGGAAAAATGCACCAAAATGTCAATTTGAAGACCAAGGAAAGAAAAGGCATAATAAAAACAATCAGACCATGCTTATATACCTCTTGGACAGGAACTGAGTACTTCCCAGATAGCAACCCATGTGCGAGCTTTGAACTGCCATAGAAGAAAAAGCGCATGATTTAAATAATCTACATCTCTTCAACATGAAAATGTATTTAAATACTTCTGAAGTTAAAGCTTTAAAAGACTAAAAAGGACTGAACTGAGTTCTATCAGAAAATTGAACACAATAACAGAAAAAGGAAAGCAAAACAGAAAAAATGTAACTGTCACACCCTCTATCCTCTACATGAATCTTGACAAAAATCACACATCAACAAATCATTAGGGGGTCCTTTGGATACCCAGAAATATATTGTCTAGAAAATATATTACTGGCATAATACATTACTGACATAATACATTACCTGCAAATGGGTTGTTACTCTTTGGGTAGTATCTAGATGCAACTTGGGAAATACATTGCTCCTGTTTGGCTATGTCTGGAAAAAAATCTCGGAAATACATTAGCACTATTTTGGCTAGAAAATACTGTGTTAATTTTATCTATGGTTTTTTTGACATCTTAAAAGTTTATTCCTTCTCTCTCCGGCCAAAAACTCTCAAATTTACAGGCACTCATCATCCATTTTTCTCTCTTCCAACCAATTTCTCTCTCTAAAATCCGCAGCAACCGATCATTAGAATCCCCTCTCCAACCATAACCCATTATCTCTATCTCAATTTTACAGCACCAATCTTCATAAACTTTTGGAACAATGGCGAAGAAGAATTGTGCATCACAATCCCAACCTTCTTCAGACGCCCAATTTCATTGAACATAATGAATCACCTGTGAGCCTATGCACTGGCATCACCTACACTCGATCCGAGGCTCCAGCACCTGCTCCCGCTCCTAACAACTATGCAATAAAGTGGATACTGCGGTATTCACTTGCCATACATTTAAGGCTAAAAAGTGGATACCGCCAATTCCATGAGGGATCATAGAACTCAAGGTACCTACTTCCCTGGAAGACAATTTCCAAAAGCGCATCTTCCAAAAATCAAAACGCCCCTTAGGGGTGTCAACAAGCCAAGCCAACTAGGCTTGGCTTCTAAGGAGCAAAGCTTGAAGACCATTTTACAGCACAACTAACCAAGACAATCTAAGCTGAGCTGGATAGGTTGTTTCATTACTCAAGCCAAGTTCAAGCTGAGGCAAGCTCGGCTCGAGCTTGACTAGACATTATTTAGTAAATAATGTATAAGATGCCATGATATGGATACAAATGTCATGATGGAGACAGAGAAATAGGATATGACTATGCATTTCTCAAAATCCAGGATACAAATGTGGATATGAGTATCTTGTCTGATATATAAATATATATTATAGCTTGGCTCACATATAGATATGCACTCAACAGATAAATATGCCATATCATAACTATTGTATTTTGTGTATTATATTTTTCATATTACTCATTTTATATTTACAAGTATCTTAGCAGTGCCCATATTAGTATTAGTGTCGACATGGTACAACACTAGTTCGCTAAGCATATAAAAGTATTCATGAATCATAATACAATAATAATCAATAATAATGAAAACGACATGGACCTCTCCCCTAAAAATTGCGGTCCACCCCTCCACTCCATGTAAAGCCCACAGACCCCCTTCTATTTACGTTTTGGACCAAACCCTACTTCCCACCTTTTTTAACCATAGAGAGTATGGAAATGTCTATGTTCGTTTTAAGAATACCAACCCTGTCCAGAATATGTATCGTACCCATCCAAAATGAAATCTCTCTCTCTCCACCAATTGACTCTATCTCTACCCCTTCACTCATCACTCTTCTTCAACCTCTGCATTCCCTGTTTACTTCGATTTCACTTTCACAAACCATTTTCTTCTTCTTTTGTTAACAGCTCATGAACCATTTACTTGAGATACAAAATCTGCATCGTCTTCAATTCTATGTTCTCATGGATTTATGACTGACTTTGCAAGCTTTACTAGAGTTTTCTTAAGGAATTTTTGGGGTTTTGCGAGAGAGAGCGCTAGTTCAATTTTGGGGGAAAGATTTGACAAAGATAGAGATCTTGTTCGGTTTTGTGGTAGAGAAGAGAGAGAGCCCAGGTTCAGTCTACTGTAGAGAGAGAGTGAAAGGGGTTGAGAGAGAGTCAGTGAAGGATAGAGAAAAAATATCAGTTGGGTGAAAGGGTAAAGAGAGAGGGAACATCAGAGAAAATGATAGAAGTTCAGCTTTGAATGAGCAAGTAACAGATTTTGTATTGGGTTGGTTTTCTTGTAAAGAACAAGGACATGTAAAAAAGGTGGGGAGGGTTTGGTCCAAAATAAATATAGTAAGAGGGGGGTCAGCAAGCTGTACGCGGACCTGAGGGTCCATGTGAACCGCAATTTGTAGTGAAGCGGATCTAGTCATTTTCCATTAATATTATATATTAATAGCGATTGTATACAAAGGGACCATTTACCATTCGTACAAGGAGGTCATAATTACTTGTAACCATCGGATGAAATCTGATAGCTTGGGTATGTCACAAAAAAAAAAAAAATCTTTTGAACTTTGAACCTGGTCAATAGAACAAATTTAACCACCCAATTCACATCCAATGGTGAAGATTAATGGTGACCTCCATGTCCCAAACATCAATGGTCTTATTGTATACTTTTCCTATATTAACTTGGTTTGGTTGCCTTCATCAATGGTCACATGCAATGGTCACATTCATATATGTAAAATTCAGAAACAATTGTAGCTATAAGTATACCTTATGCTTGCCTTGTTTATATATTGACTTGGTTTGGTTTGACTCGATTGGCTTGTTCATGGCTGAGTAGGCTTCTTTATGAGCTTGTTTAAGCAAACAAGGCATGCAAAGCCAAGCTCAGGCTTACCACCCATTAGTCAAGCTAGACTCAAGCTGTATGGTTCGAGCGCAAACCAAGATAACACCAATCCTCCAACAAGGAAAGCAAAGCATGAACATGAATGACTCAGTCAGACTCCTTCACACTCTAAGCCACAATAACACAACCCCAAACCTTTTCATGGGTCTATATAATACACTCAGTTTGGGATTTCTCAAGTCCTATGTTTGAAAAATTACCGATTTGGATCAGAAATCGGTTGAAACCATGAAAAAAAATTTATCAAAATCGGGCATTTGGTCACAATATAATATATAATATATATTTTTATATAACATAAGTCAAAATAGCCATGCTGGCTATAATGCATAGTTATTTGCATAAGCATTGGAAGTTAGAGTCCTCTTAGCAGCCTTTTTTATTTTGAAGACCATGAATATAATATACAATAATAATATATAATATATAATATCATTATCATCATTATCAGCATCAGAGCCTTATCCCAACTGTTTGGGGTCGGCTACATAAATCCTATTATGTCATTCTGCTCTATTAAGAGCCAGCCCCCAATAAGACCATAAGTCCTCATATCTTTCTCAGTACTTCCATTCATGCCCTTATGCCTTCCTCTTACCCTTTTAGAACCTTCCGTTTGAATCAAATCGAACCTCCTAACTGGTATTGTATTAGATCTAATATAATATCACATTATTGTCAAAACCTTTTTTCAACTAATTAGAGTATGTTACATGAATCATGGTCCGTCATTCATCAGTATTAAGGGCCATAACCTCAATGAGGCCATAAATTCCCATATCTTTTCTCACTACGTCCAACCATATCCTTTTGGGCCTACCCCTTGCCATTTTTTAGCCTTCCACTTGAACTAACTCACACCTCCTAACGGGTGTTGTACTGGGTCTGCGCCACACATGGCCAAGCCACCTAAGTCTACTCTCTCTCAACTTATCGTCTATTGGTGCCACACCTAAATTTTTCCAAATGTATTCATTTGAATTTTATCCCTTCTTGTCTTACCACTCATCCATCTCAACATCCTCATCTTCACTATAGTCATTCTATAGGTAGATTATTTTTTGACTGCCCAACATTCTGCCCCATAAAGCAAAGATGGTCTCACAGCTGTCCTATTGAACTTGCCCTTCAGCTTCATTGGTACGACATGATCACATAAAATTCTGATTGCACATCTTTACGTCGCCCACCCAACTCTAATTCTATGTGTAACATCTTCCTCAATCTCTCCATTCTGTTGGATTATTGACCCAAGATATTGAAAGTGTGCTCTTCTTGATACTTCCTAGCCTTCAATCTTAATTACTTCTTTGTCTCTTCTTCTATTATTACCAAACATACATTCCATATAATTTTTCTTAGTCCGGCTAATTTCCAAAGTTCTGATGTCGTTTCAGGCCTCATCGATCAAAACTATGTCATTTGCGAACGACATGCACCACGGTACCTCATCTTGTAGGATGCCTAGTCAAGTCGTCTGTAACTAAGACAAAGCGGTATGAACTCAATGCTGACCCCTAATGTAGATCTATTGTCACTGAAAACTCACTCGTCTCTCCACTAGTTGTTCGTACACTAGTTAGCACTCCATCATACATATCTCGCACCAAGTCGATATAGTGTCTAGAGACTCCTTTCTTTTCCAATACGCACAAATCAAATATCGAGATACTCTATCATAAGCTTTCTCTAGATCAATAAAGACCTTGTGGAGGTCTTTTCCCTTCACCCTAAACTTCTCAATCAGTTGCCTAAGTAGGAAAATAGCCTTGGTTATTGACTTCGCTGGCATAAAACGATATTGGTTTTCTGATACACTCGTTTCATGTCTTAATCGTTGCTCAATCACTCTCTCCCAGAGCTTCATATTATGGCTCATAAGTTTGTTCAACCGATCGTTCCGCACAATTATGTATATTTCCTTTGTTGTTATAAGTAGGTACCCCAATACTTTTCTGGTTCGTTTGGCATTTTCTTTGTTCTCAACACCTTGTTGAACAACTTGATCAACCAATCAATGCCAATCTCCCCCATGCACTTCCAAACCACTATCAGGATATCATCTAGTCCTAAAGTCTTTCTTATCTTCATCATCTTCAATGCGTCTTTCATTTCCGATATCCTAATCCTATGAATGTATCTATGACCTTCACCCTCATTTATACCAATGATTCCTTTTACTGCAATGTTCTCATTGTGTTTATCATTTAATAATTTTTTAAAATAAGCTCTCCACCTTTTGTTGACATCTTCATCATTCATCATCATCACTCTTAATGCATTTAAGATGGTCTAAATCCCTACACTTTTTCTCTCTCATTTTTGTTAATTTGAAAACATCTTTTTCACCTTTTTTTGTTTCCAATTTACTATACAGATTATCATATGCCTTTAGCTTAACCTTACTTCCTATTTTTTAGCATTTTTATATTCTTCTAAGTTTTGATCATTTCTATTATACTACCAAATTGTACAACATGATTGTTTTTCACTAATGGTGGGTTTAATATAATTTATATTATATAATATAAAATTAATATGTAATTTAGCATATGGATTGAGCAGCCTAAGTGGCTAGACCTTGTGACTTAAAGGCCACAAGGTCAAAGGTTTGATCAATGCCTTTGTATTGTTTAAGCTGAAATAATAACTGAAGGAGGGAAGTTCAATTATTTTTTTGAACCTCAAAAAAAGGGGATACCATCCAATCCTAAAGTCCTTCCTATCTTCATCATCTTCAGAGCTTCTTTTACTTCCGATATCTTAATCCTATGAATATATCTATGACCTTCACCCTCATTTATGTCAACGGTTCCTTTTACCACTATGTTCTCATTGTGTTCATCATTTAATAATTTTTTAAAATAAACTCTCTACCTTTAGTTGATATCTTCATCATTCACTAAGACCCTTTGATCCTCACTCTTAATGCATTTAATATGATATAGATCCCTACACTTTTTCTCTCTCATTTTTACTAATTTGAAGACATGTTTTTCACCTTTTCTTGTTTCCAGTTTACTGCATAGATTATCATATGCCTTTAGCTTAGCCTTACCCTATTTTTTTAGCATTTTTCTTAGCATTTTTATATTCTTCTAAGTTTTGATCATTTCTATTATACTGCCAAATTGTACAACATGATTGTTTTTCACTAATGGTGGGTTTAATATAATTTATAGAGAAAATATCTCCATACCCCCTATTTTTAAGTTTCATATCTCAATAGACCTATGAATTCAAAAGTTATCTTGGAACATAGAAATCTTAACTTTTATATCTTCTAACTCCCTAGACTAATTTTACCCACTTTATTCTTGTTCTTTTAACCCAAACAATTTATTTAAAGATAACTCTTTGTAAACCACATCCTTTCTCTCTCACATGATATTCTCCTTATTTTTCTCTCTTACTCTTTCCACCGTAACTCTCCCCAACCCTCTCTCTCTCTCACCATATTACCCCTCTCTCACGTCCTAATCTCTCTCTCTCCATAGTGACTCTCCCTAATTCCTTCTCTTTTTCTTTCTCACGCCCTAATCTCTCTCTATAGTGACTCTCCCTAATTCCTCTCTCTTTTTCTCTCTCCACCATGATTCTAATTTTTCTCTCTCCAACCTCTCTCTCCATGAATCTCCCCAATTCCACTCTTTCTCTCTCTCATGTCCCCTTCCATGCCATCATTCTCTCTCACGTCTTAATTTCTCTTTCTTTCTCTCCACGGTAACTCTCCCCAACCCTATCTCTCTCTCTATATTACCCAACTCTCTCCATCCATCTCTCTCTTTATCCCAACTCTCTCTCTCCATCCGTCTCTCTTCATCCCAACTCTCTCTCTCCATCCGTCTCTCTCTCCATCCGTATTACATGCCTTTCATATGGCTAAGAGAGATTTATATGAGTAGTGAGATGACTACTTTGCAAAATAGGGGTTTGGAGAGAAATAGATGGAGAGAGAGTTAAGGTAATACGGAGAGAAAGGAGTTCGGAAAAAGAAAAATTAAGACGTGAGAGAGAATGACGACATGGAGGGGGACAGAAAAAGTGGGGAACACGATGAGAGAAAGAGTGGAATTGCGGTGATTCATGGAGAGAGAGAGAGGATGGAGAGAGAAAAATTAGGGAAAGTGAGAGAAAATGAGAGGAATTAGGGTGAGAGGATGGAGAGAGAAAAATTAGGGAGAGTGAGAGAAAAAGAGAGAGGAACTAGGGAGAGTCACTATGGAGAGAGAGAGATTAGGACGTGAGAGAGAAAAAGAGAGAGGAATTAAGGAGAGTCACTAAGGAGAGAGAAATTAGGACTTGAGAGAGAGAAGGGTAATACGGTGAGAGAGAGACAAGGGGTTGGGGAGAGTCATCGTAGAAAGAGAAAGAGAGAAATGAGGAGAATATCATGTGCAGAGAGAGAAAGGACGTGGTTTACAAAGAGTTGTCTTTAAACAAATTGTTTGGGTTAAAAGAAAAGAAATAAAATGGGTAAAATAAGTATAGGGGGTTAGAAGATATAAAAGTTAAGATTTCTATGCTACAAGATATCTTTTGAGTTCTTGGGTCTATTGAGATATGAAACTTAAAAATAGGGAGTATGGAGATATTTTCCCTAATTTATATTATATAATATAGAATTTATATGTAATTTAGCATATGGATTGAGCAGCCTAGGTGGCTAGACGTTGTGACCGGTTTGATCAGTGCCTTTGCATTTTTGAAGCTGAAATAATTACTGAAGGAGGGAAGTTCAATTATTTTTTTGAACCTCAATAAAAGGGGAGGAATCAAACCTCAGTACTTGCAGTTAAGAGCATGTGAGCACCTCATTTATTTAGAATATATGATAGAAAACATACCATATACTCTCTCATTTTATTTTTATTTTTATTTTGCCGGATTGCCGATCCAGACTGGGAAAGTTCGGTGCGCGATCCACCCCACAGAACTATTTTTCAAAACACTGCTCTAGTGAGAATTATGACATTTTTCAAAACTAAAGAATCCAGCGACCATTAATTGGAACCTCAGTCACAAGAATCGGGATTTCTCTAGAAGGACACAATACCCAAGAACAAAACCCAGAATTAGTTCACCCAAAAAATTCCCCAAATAGGATACCTATTGTGATATTCCGAGACAGATCAAATATCACTCAATCACAAGTTTACACAACAAGTTACACCACATAAGGCTAGCTGCTAGAAGAATATAGCAATCTAACAAGATTTTCTCTGAAACACTTATGTGAAAATAAACACCTAGTAATAACAGTAAAACTTACAGTTGCATATTCAAATCTAGTGTTGGATCAGCAGGAGCCCTTCCAAATGACTCTTTCAAACTCAAGTTCTCGTAATACCTGCCAGCAAACAAGTTCTCAATAAACAAAATAGATTTAGTTCACTAGTAATATTCTATATAGAAAGCAACCAACTTCAGTATACATTGCAATACTGACCGAGAACAAAAAGCATTTGTTGAGAATATTACTTGCATAGTAGAAGCCAAATAGCAACTGCAAAGTATAAAACAAATGTGAGCACGGGATAAACATGTTTCAAAAGAAGGAACACAAGATCTCACACAGCAGGAACAGAGAAGGATAGGATATCAAGATTTGAGAAATTTCACATAGCAGTAACCAAGAATAAGACTTACCTATTTCCAAGATTGATGAGCCCTGTATAGCCTGGTCCAAAGAGCAGTTCCACTTCCCGCCCACTCTCTTGTATACGGTTCCAATCAAAATTGGTATTTTGGTCAAGCTCTTCTTCAGCAGTCGTTAATTCAGTCTGCAAATAGAAGAAATACAATCACTTGCTTGCACTCAAGCTAGAGGAAAGTTCAGAATTCAAAAGTCAAATAGGTTTTCTTTGGGAATCTCGAGTCTAAAGCCATATATGTAATTACTGTAGGCATGAATCCAACTTGGAAAGGAATGTAAGTTGACATATTGATGCTTTCACCAAGTAGAGTAAAATGAGTGGGAACAAGTTACACCAATCCGAAGAGTACTAGAAACAACTTACAGTACCAACAGACTTTCCAGACTTCTTAAATCTTAATTCATAAAAATCTAGAACTGAGAGAAACCAAGCACCTCGTACACCATTCAGCTCACAACTCTCTGGCCCCACGGGAGGGAGATAATGAATCTAAATTGCTTCTTGAGCATCCAATGTCCCCTACCAAGCCTATTCATTCAACAAAGGCACAAAGAACAAAGGACATTGTGATCGAGTGCCCCCACTCAAGCATGAAACTCAAACACCAAAAATACACAGAACACAAAGAATTGTCTGGCAACCCTAGGTTTTAATTGAAAGCAGCAGCTCCAGTTGGTATTTGTATGAACCGATAGTAACATGTTTAATGTTGCTGTCATGCTGACATCTGCTCTGAAAATTAACTGACATATGTTTAATCCTCCAATGGAAATTGGCCTAAAGGAAAAGTAAGTCTTCTAGAGCTAGATCAAACAAACTATAGAAAAGAATTGAGTTAGACAACAGTCCTAAAAAACCACTATATGAGATGCCTATATCCACTTCTTGTTCCTAAACATATTTTATACAAAAATATAAATGTAACATATTTTATACATAAATATAAATGTCACAATTCTCCCAGTCATATAAAATGATTCTAGTCCAAAGTCCAGATCATTGGCTCAAGAATGAGGATGGGCCATTCAATCCAGTGTAATTTCACCCAGATTACACTGATTTTAACATGGAAAAAGGTAGCAGATGGCCAGTAAGGTTCAAAGTTAGAGAAAAAGGGTAAAAATCAATGAGATGGAGGCTAGCTCTAGGTGTCTATTCTTCAAAAACTCAAACAGTAACCAAATTTCTCAAAGCCTGATTCACAACTATGATGCGATCCCATAGTTGCAAAATCCAGTCAAAACTCAACCTGTGATGCACCATCCCTTTTTTCCATCTCTCACAACCATATCTCCTCCCATCTACCCCTGCCCACAATAAAAGAAAAAGAACAGAGGGTCCTGGAATCTTCCCCAAAAAGCTAATACAATTTCCCCTTGTTCGCTATCCTCAAATGCATAATCTCAAGACCCGTCTCTATGACAATTCACAACTTCGGCTTGCACAAATCCTCCCATCAGAACAGATGATACATACAAGTCATAGATGATACATACAAGTCATAGATGATACATACAAGTCATAGATACCATTACCACCTCTCCCCCGAGATGGTAACGAAATAAACTGAGATGCTAAAAGGTGTGGCCCTGACAAGTGTCGCACTCCCTTCCCATTAGAGATACTGAGAATGCCCTCTCAAACAGTCAACCTTGACCACCAATAGATGAAGCCTCCCCCTGGCGGCATGTAAACCTGGCAAAGAAGCCTCATCCAAAACCATGCAAAACAGTCTTACCCAGGTTGATTCTCAAATCAAAGACCACTTTGTAGAAATCTCTGTAGCATCCTACAAGCATCATGTGGTAAGGGATCAGTATCACACGAATAATACATCATCTGCAAAAACAGAGGTGGTTTATAGTTCACATGAATTCTTCCAGTCATACTGAGGTTTGACACCTCATCAACTCTGTAATCCAAGCGGCTGATCCCTGAAACCCATTCTCGCTTTAGGTAGCCCACATCAACATGATCATAGGCATTCTCCATGTCCACCAAATAACAATGCCTTGCAATAGACTTAAACATACATGGATGACTACAGCTACATCAAGTTCTGCCTCACTGTGATAGAAACACCTCACAAGGTAAAAGGATGCCCCCCCAACAAATCCTCACACTTATGGCAAGGACTTCAGAGTCCTTAATGTCATGGCAAGCGGTTTACCATTTTAGTAAAAATATCATACAAGCTTCCGCCATGTTAATAGGTCTCAACTACCTATGACCTTGGGACCCTTCAAGTCATGCAAATGAGAGTAGTATCTGCAAAAACAGAGGTGGTTGATAGTTCACATGAATGCTTCCAGTCATACTGAGGTTTGACACCTCATCAACTCTGTAATCCAAGCAACTGATCTCTGAAACCCATTCTCGCTTTAGGTCGCCCAAATCAACATGATCATAGGCATTCTCCATGACCACCAAATACCAATGCCTTGCAATAGACTTAAACATTCATGGATGACTACAGCTACATCAAGATCTGCCTCACTTTGATAGAAACACCTCACAAAGTAAAAGGATGTCCCCCCAACAAGTCCTCACACTTATGGCAAGGACTTCAGAGTCCTTAATGTCATGGCCAGAGGTTTACCATTTTTGTGCAAATATCATACAAGCTTCCGCCATGTTAATAGGTCTCAACTACAAATGCCTTTGGACCTTTCAAGCATGCAAATGAGAGTAGTAAATGCGACTCTAAGGGCCATTTCAGCCTACAGGTCCTGAATTAATCAGGTTATTCTACAGAAAAATTCTAGTAAATCCAACATCACAATCTACACTAAGTCCTAGAAGAATCAGTAATCGTCTAGTCCAACAATAAGGAAAAGATGAATCACACAAATGCCCATTGCCTTCATATATACTGTCAGCCAGTATTATATAGCATTCTCATTCTAAGGAAAGAAAGATATTGCTGCACTTTCTCTCCATTCAAGAGAATAGTTGAGCCAGGACAATAACTGTTTCATTCATGAGTGAACATGTGACAGATGAACCTAAAACAAATCCTTGAATTAACAACTACAAATGCTGCCTTTACAAAAGCCTAGTAGATGCTAAGAATTCCAATTTTGTAGTTGACGTTCATGTACGATTCATATAATACAATATTTCACTTCCTAAGCTTGTTTTATGAACTTTCTTGACCCCTAATGCTTCCTGGGATCACCCTTTCCAGAATAGATCAAAGAACATGAATACATTTTTTTTAATCATCATATATTACATAGGAAATGAGTAAGATTGATAACCAGATTTTTAATATTGTAATGTACAAAAATAAGTCTCAAAATATGGACCATAGCAAACCTCAGTAAATTATTTGCAGCGGCTTTCATTTTGAAGGAATGACAAAAAAAGAATAATCGCCCAGTAAATGATGATATACTTCTGTAAGAACTAAAATTCCAATCAATATGTTAGAGTCACTTCTATCAACGTGCAACAAGATATGAAACTCATTGCATATTGATACACTTTAAAAGATGCAAAGCTTTTCAAGTGCAGTAAACAGCGATAGAAACATTATCTGACCTTCCTTAGTGATGGAAAATCGATGCCAAAGAATGACAGATGTTGAGCTAATAATGGATCTTCAACACTTTCATCCTCTGGATATGAGAAAACATCTGAGCTGCCAACAACATTTCATAAATATTTACACCCAAATCTGAAAGAGTTGCAAAAAATATGGACAGAAGTGAAACCAAAACACAGACTGACTCCAGGTAGTGATGGAATATAAATTTTTCTAACCTAATCAAAGGGGGCAAGGAACAAAGCTCAATGAGAGGACAATAATGAAATTAATTGATTAATTATCTGAATGATACAAACAATGTCATCAACATCCAAGAGAAGACATTAAAAGTTGAAGCAGCCATGAAACCTAGATTACTCATGCCATTCACATTGTTGATCCTGAACATTACTCATCTATAATACTTGATTTTTTATTATCTTGATTTATTAACCTTTAAAAGAAATTTAGCTGTTAATCATCAAATCATAGAGCATATTACCTGCAGTTTCAAGATCAGCTGTTATGGTCCCAAGCTTTACAGCTAGAGGATATTTTGTCGCTATGTAGTGTTCAATAGCATGATTATTGCCACCAGAACCATCCCAATTTTTCCTCCCACATAGGATCGTCCCATCAGTCAAATTAAGCCAGAGATTCTCAGCCTTATCACACTTGCTGCATTTCCATCCATGTGGAGGTATAGTAACACCATTGCCAATCTGTTGTAGGTCCATGGCATATGCACTCACTTGCTTCTTATCAGCTACCCATGATGCAACTTGCTCCTTTCTTTCAGCTCCCTCTGACAACATAATAGCATCAGCAGCCTGCCTAACCTGTCAAAAAGAATCTCAAATTGGATAAATGAATTTGGCATTTAGTAAACCCATTTTCTCAAATTAAAAATAGCAACCCATTAATTGAGTATACAAGAAAGCACCTTCTCTGGCAACTCAACATTAGGGAATGGAAGCATCACATAGTCAGGCAATATGATGATGCTATAATTATCTTCATATTCAGGTTCATTGGTCTCGAAACCCCCTTCAACACCTGCTAAAATGAACAATAATCTTTACATTCTGAATACATATTTCTTCGAGAGTCCAAAAATTTTCCAATGCATTTCATTAAGTTCTCTACACATTATTTGGCGTGGGCATAGAAACATTATGGCGTAGTTTGCATCAAGCCCATAAACATTGGATAGACAAGGCATATTCTGCTAGCAGCATATAAATGGTTGAATCCACCTGCATGTAGTTTTGTTTTGAATGGGTATTTGCAACTTTTGATTTTATTTGAAAGACAGTCCAGAATTTAGAAGATACTTTGCTTCTATAAAATGGAAAGCATTCATTCAAAAAAGTAATGAGATGTGTAATCTCACAAAGGTATACAACCTTCACACATGAAGATCACCTAATAAGAACATTTTTGTTGTCTTTCTCCTTCCATTCAGATTAGTAATATTCATCATAGAAAGACAAATGGAGCAAAGAAAAAGAAGAAATAATAAGTAAAAAAAACTACATAAAATGTTTTCTTGAACACAAAGCTTCACCTGGAAGGCATTGCAACATTAGAATAGAGCATAACAGAAAAAAAAATTATCACATGAGCATATCACAACCACCAAATCATACGCCAAGAGAAGAAACAATACAACAATCAAGGAAATAAGATTCAACAAGTAGAACAGACCACAATAATAACTACTGAAGAACATTACACCTCATAATTCAGATACTAATAACCATAATAATATCTATATTTCAAAAAGATGAAACGATCCAGCAAAGAATGATCTGGAATATCTGACACGTGATAACGAAACAAAATTAAACAGAAAAAGATGGACTCCCTAAAAAATGAAGAGTTTTCGACAACCGAATGCAAGTGAGGAATGAACATAAATAATCAACTAAGGTGCCAAAGAACAAAATAAAAAAGGAAAACATCAAAATAAACGGAAACAAATACTAATGAATAAAAAGAGGAAGAAACTGAGCCAAGAAGTTAATGAATACTAGCTAAGAAAGCATCCAAATGTCTCTCTCTTTCAGTGGTAGAACCATAAAACCTTAAGGAATTGAAATTCCAAATTTCCAAGTTAGCGAATAAAGGAAGAAGGAAAAGATGAATAAAGAACAAAAACTAATCAACCAAAAAGAACAACTAATCACCTATTGCTAAACGAGTCGGCTTCTTTAGAGGCCGGTCTTCTGGAACTGCCTTTCTCGTTTGCTTAATATGGAAATAAACAGGATTTCCGGTCTTTTCATAATTCCAATCCACATAATCTTTTCCAAAAGCGAGAAAGGAGTTCATATCAACAAATAACCCACCTTCTGACCTCTGCAATTTAAGCAAAACAAAAAAAAATCAAACTCCAATTTCTACATCGAGATCCTGAAAAAACAATAAGCATGTAATGGAAACAAGTGATATATAAACAAATAAAAGGAACACTGTGGTAAAAATTAATGGAAAGAAGCTTACTGGTGTATCAAAAGAAATGCAGCATTCTTGCTTGTAAACACGATGCGAAGGAGTGGGGATTCTAAGTTTGGAGAGGTGAGACCTCAGCAACTCCATTATTGACTTTGAGAGAGAGAGGAGGAGAGAGAGAGAGAGAGAGAGAGAGTGGGGGCCGCTGCAATAAGATCGCCTAGAGTGAGAAGAGAGGAAAGAGGGAGAAAAGAGGGGAAAGAGGGAGAAAGGAGGAACTGAACTTTATTAGCGCCGAAAGAGCACCTCACCGCTTTCTTCGCTCGAGCGAGTGCGTTTTCTTGGCGCTCTCGTAAGAGATTTTCCTCGGTTGCAGGGGAATAGAGGCGTCTTACTGAATTTAAAGGGCAAAGTATAGAGGCGAGGCTCTAAACAATCACATTTGAGCTTATCTCAAAAATAAGCTCAAAAATTTCACTAGTAGAGGTTGTTTTGATGTTAAAATATCTATAAATTGATCATCTCAACATCAAGAAGCATGGATATGAGAAAAAAATAGATTTTAAGTTTTGAAAATATAGTATTTGATAACGTATTTTTGGACCGTCGATTTTCAAGATTTTCGAAGGTCATAGAATACCATGAAAATAGTTCATTGGAGCAACTAAAAAGTCATTTTAGGAATTTAACGTTGTGTGATCCAAACAAGTTGGCTATTATGTACCGGGAAAAGTTTCTATACTTCCCCTACAGCATAGAAGATCTATGCTTCCCCTACCATCCAGCCGTCCAATTTTGATCAAGAGAGCCACTCACCGTTTGATCTTAGATCCGACATCTCAAAGTATTTTATTTTTAGTTTTTTTATATAAATTACATGAATATGAAATTTGATACGTGCCATCATCTCATTGGGGTGCACCTATAAAAAAAATATTAAAAATAATTTTTCGATAAAATATAATGATCAAAATACCCCTTAAATCTTTCAGGGTTATTTTGATCATTTTATTTTATTGGAAATATTTTTAATATATTTTTAGCTAGTGCGAGTTTAATAGAGAATTGGATGTACAAATTTTGGTGTCAAAATAGTTTATAGAAAAAAATTAAAAAACAAAATAGTGCAGAGACGCGACATTATGATTGGGGCAATCTTAGCCCTCTGTTCAAAATGGACGGCTGGATAAGGGGAAGTATATCAGTTTTATGTTGTAGGGTAAGCACAAAAAGCTTGCCCATATGTACCACAACTTGAGTCTATCTAGTGGTTTTGAATTAATTGATATAAGTGACGATATAGATGTATCTTTTGTGTTGGGAGGGGAGTCTTCAAGTATTGTCATATACATTGCATTTGTAATAGAGCCGAAAAGGATATCAATGGAATTCCGAACGGCAGAACCTGTTGGTGATGGCCCATCTACTAGTACTATAATTTACATTATCATCTCTAATTAGCTTTAATTGAATCATCCATGTGCATAAACTGTTGCTTCAACTTATACTCTATATTTTATTAATATTCGGGGTAATACACCTTTACCTGATCATTTAGAGAATATCCAAGTGGTGCTCATCCAAATAGAAAACGAGTATGAGTTTCTATCAGAGCGTGATACAAATGATATTGAACCGATTGAGATCCCATGTAAAGGAATTGGTAATGATGTTGTTTTGAAAATTGACCAATATTTTAAAAATGTTAATGAATGTCAGAATTATCCGGTTGATTTTGCAGTTCACAATAATTTTTATTTTGAAGTTTGTCAAAAGCGAAGGGGGGTGGGTATAGACAAGTTGTTAGGCATAGGTGAAAGAAAGACCCATGTGATCTTTTACCGGGAAATAATACTTTTTTTTTATATCACCCTTTTTATTTTGGCAAAAGATAACTTACAGGTGGTCTTATTACAACAACATATACTTCAAAATAAAATCAACATGACAATAAAACCAAGATCTTAAAACTTGATGCTATTGAAATAACTATGCATTATGCTTGAGAATAAAAAATGAGATTGCAAGAAATAAAAGAGAAAAGTGCCGGAGATACTTCAACCGGGCTTATTACACCCCACACCGAGTCACCACCATCAGATGGCGCGGGATCAACGATCTTGCTTCAATCTCAAATCGAGAAAGCAAGTTTTGGCCAAGCCACATCAATGGAACATGAATCCCTTTGATCACAAACTCAAACTCTAAGTGAATTCCTTTAGCAACTTAGTTTGAAAGAGATGGATTCTTTTTTTGCTAACCCTAAAACCCATAGCCATAAATCCATACTTGAGAGATAGAAGAGAGAATATAACTTCATAACCTAAACCCTTAGCCCCTTTTTCACAATGTGGGAGAGAGATCAAACATGAGAGAGAGACAGAAAGATAGGGTGTAGAGATTTTGGGTAGAGACAATCGTTTTTTATAAGCTTGAACAAAATTAGGGTTTTTTAGGGTTTTCCTTAGCTTGCCTCTTCTTGTGAAATTGAACATGGACCGTCGATCAATGGTGACTTGTGGGGTGAGAGATCTGAGCCATCCATTCCATAAATATGTCATCAATATTATGGAAGGTTTATGAACATTTATCCCCCTTTCCTAAACCATTTTCCCATCAATAGAAAATAAGTTAAATTAATTTTAATTAAATATTATACATTTTGTAAAATAGCACATCTCTACACATATTTTCTATAAAATCTATCAAAGATATATGAAGTCAATATCTACTTCCATATTAAGTCAATATATGGTCAATACATACTCAATCCATAATTTGACCACATGTCACAATTTAAAGTTACCAAGACAGAAAGTCACATGGAACACAAAGCAACACATTTCATAAAATAGAAAGTAGTAAGAGGTGGGGCGTGCTACCCATGGGAGGCACATGTGGGCCCCACCTTCTAGAAACATGGTGGGCCAATGTGCACAATGGGCCCCCATGATTATTTTTGTTATGCATTTAAAATTAACAAAATAATTTTTAGTGAATATTAAAATATTATAAAATCAATATATTTAATTTTATAAATCTAAAAATTATAAATAAAATATCCAATGGTTCATAAAAATTCAAATAAAAATTTTAAAATAATCATTATCATAAAAAAAATAAAATTAAATTAAATTGATGGGAAATAAATCTCTATGGTTTTGGAATTGAATCAACAATCATGGAGCACTCCACCTTTAACTGTGGACTATAGACCACACTTGCTTTATCAGACCAACCTAGCGTTTCTCATGGCCCACAGTCTAAGTAAGGGCTCATTAGTGAGTTACCAAAGCCTGATAGATGAGCCAAGGGATCGCAATCCCAGTCTGTGGATTACAGGTGCTCCCTTAGAGACCAGTTCAGGTCACCAAGACCTGATGCGACTACAACTCTATGGCACAAAGGAAGATCTCTCGCACATGCATACGTTTCACCCTAAAAGGTGAATTTCTGGCTTTCCCGAATGATCTATCAATATGCATGCCGTGTGATGGCACATAGATGAGGTTTTGGCCCTTGCACCACCACATATAAGGGTCACACAATCCCTCGGCTCACTCATCCAGGCATGTTCTTCGACCTCATCAAGGGCTAACCCATGAAGCCTCATCAACTTGCTCTTCATGCCTAAGTAACATGAGTTTTTCCCAACCGATTGTCTTAGATCGTCAAGCACAGTTTGGTATTGGGAAACATCGTTTGCATGGTATGGTCCACGAGGAACCACACTCCACTGAGTTCATGTTCGACTATATCATTTCATTTTACAAGCACTCATAAGGCTTTTAAAGGCCACATAAACCCAACAATAGTATGTATGTAACAAGTGTGATGCTTAAGAGTTGGCAGTACGATATACTTCAAAGTGAAATCTATGGTTAAGGAGCACACATGTAGTGGTCCAATGGGGAAGGTTCGTGAGCCCCTAGCTCGTAGTGATTAGGTAGCAAAAAAGGTTAAAGCTCATGTTTATGGCCAACCTAAGATTACAACGAAAGGCATTATAAAAGATGTCTAGCGTGATCACAGTATCAGACTTTTCTACATGCAAGCTTGGCAAGGCAAAAATGTTGCTAGGGAGATAGTAGATGGGTCATATGACCAACAATACAATGATATCCCCTTACATATGAAGAAGCATCGAAGAATCAACCCTATAACCGAAGTTCGTATCCATACAAAATAATGCAGGTTTAAATAACTATTTATTGCTTTTTCGCCCCTACATCATGGGTTTTTTAATGGATGCCGGCAAGTAATGGATATTGAGGGACATTTTTAAAATGAAAATATCAAGGCATATTATTGTGTGTCATTGTCATAGATGCAAATAATGTCATCTTCCCAATGGCATTTGCAGTGGTCGAGAAGGAGAGCTACTAAAGTTGGCATTGGTTCTTGAGTATTTTGAGTGATGTATTAAATAAGCATGTTAATCTATCTGCCATGACAATTGTATCAGATCGGTAGAAAAGCCTACTAAAAACAACAGCAAAATGTTTCCCGCATGTTTTCCAGCTTACTATATGTGACATCTAAGTAAGAACTTCAAGAGCTTTATAAAAAGTCAACAAATACAACCGTATTGCTCATGCGGTTTGGAAGGTTGTTCGCAAAATGACCATTGGTGGGTTTGATAAAACAATGTTTGATATACAGTCTGCCGACCCAGAAGCATACTAGTGGATTAATAATATTCCTCCAAACATTGAGCAAATACCCATTTTTCAAGGGCTAGATACAATCATCTTATCTTGAACATGACCGAGTCATTCAACAGCTGTCGTTTCTCTGCTCGGGATAAGCCAATCATCAATATGTGTGAAGATCTAAGAGTACATTTGATGTGCAAGTTTGAAGAGAAGAGGGAGTTAGCTAATATCTTGAGTGTCATGCTAATATTGAAAGCCCAAGAATTACTCGAATTCTAAAAGTTGAACACAAGATTTTTACACACAGTTACATTGGCCATGGATACACAGTTCGAGATCCAATAGGTAGAGGAGAAGTTTGTTGTTGATTTAACTCATTGGACATGCAATTGTAGGAAATGACAAATCAGTGGCATACTGTGTAGTCATGTTGTTGCGGCCATTAACTACATGCACTTTGATGCCATTGCGTTTTGTAGTCGGTATTTCACAATGGAATACTTTAAAAGAGCTCTTCAAACACCCTTTGGGCATGCCCTGGGTGATATTGAGTTAACTGGTATGTTTAACATGATAATGTTACTACCAAGGATGACACGCCTTCCTGGTAGGCTAAAGAAGCAACGAAAACTTTTTAAGATTAAACACTCCTCCACCAGGGCATTGAAGTGCAATCGATGCGACATGGTGAGTCATAATAGGAGGACCTATAGAGAACTGATAGGC